CATGCGTTCTTCCCTTTATGAAAGTAAAACAGTAAAATATGGCAAAAATGCACAGTTTGGTCTTCCATCTTCAACTTAATGTAAAATCTCCAAAACTCAACCAAATCACTCAATTTTTTTTAGAATGAAGCTAGAACTGTCAGCTGCCAAATGACATAGCAATAACATAAATGTGAATGACTCTAGTACTTCCAAAAATGAACTAGTGCCGTTTGTCGCAAACATGTGACATGACTTTTCCAACAACCCAATAGATAAACCAGAAGTTGCACTTATCACTCTGGCTCACATCTAATTGGCCCAAACCTAATCACACAATCATACCTACAGGAAGTGGAAGTTGGAAAATACAGTCATATACCCAGCTTGACCAGAGGTGTGATACTAAAGGATGGTATAACTAGATACTGAACAAGAATTAGCAGTTTGTGTCATACCTCACACAACCTATTTTCAACAGCTATCAGAGTTTTTTTAAAAGTCTATTTCAGTCTCTAGCACCCTCTGTGCAAAACCTCCACTGGCTTCCTATTCAATTAACACAAAAACCAAAGTCCTCACAAAGGCCTACAATCCTCATGCGATCTGCTCCCCTCATTACCTCCCTCACCCCATCTCCTAATACTCTTCCAAAAAATAAACACCAAATGAATTAAAGATCTAAATATGAAAGATAAAACTACAAAGCTAAAGAAAAAGTAGGATAATACATTTGTAACCCTGAGTGATGACAGATCTCAAAAGTATAAACAACATGGGGAAACTGTGATGGAATTGACTCCATCAAAATTAAGGACTTGTTATGCAACAAAGGACAGTATAGACAAAGTTAACAGATAGGCAAAAGACTGGAACATTACATTTGCAGCATTAAGAAGAAAAGAAAAGGGATTTAATATCTAGTATATGCCAACAATTCTGGAAAGATGACAACAAAGACAGGAAATGCAACTTAAAATTTGGTAGGAGACAGAAGCAGACAATTCACAAAAGGTAAAATAAAGTTGTCAGACAAAGTATAGCATGCCTCATTAAATTTTAATTGAAGATAAACAATGAAAAAAGGTTAGTATAAGCATGTCCCAACTATTCACAGTATATTATATACTTATACTAAAAATTCATTTGTTGTTTATCTAAAATTCAAATTTACCAGTGCCCTGTATTTTTATTTGCTAAATTTGGCAGCTGTGCAATCCATATGGCTAACAAGTGAATGATGAGAAGCCCAGCCTCTGTGCCACTAGTAAGCACAGAAATACAAATTAAAACTATGAGATACCATTTTACATCCATTATATTATCAAAGACTAGAAAATCAGGCTGTTATTGAAGAGCATATAACCCTTGTATTTTCCATTTTACTACAAAAGATCACCTAAGATTCTTTTCTTTAAATCAGGTCACTAGGCAATAAAAGACCAACTATTCACTGCATATGCACAGAGAAAAAACACATTTAAAACCCACTGTTTCATACTATAGACAAAACAGAAATAATCACAATAACTATATTCAGGCATCTAAGACAACCTTTTCCTAGAAAATTTCAGTACCTATTTAAGTATAAATTTAAAAAATATAAATGTTAAGGATAAAAATGTTTGTGTATCATCTAGTAGTTAAAGAATACCTTTTTAATAAACATCATAATATTAATTTTAATACTGGATTAAGAGTACCCTCTTATGGTTAACTATCATAGCAGGTCAGAAATTTGGGCTGTAAACAGAAACAAGAATATGGCTTCACATTTTCAAAGAGATTTCACATAAAAATGCTTTA